AACGACAGAAAAATTTACCATACATGCCGCTTTTAAACTCAAGTGCTGCTCTTCTCGCAATTGTTTCTCTCATTGCTGCAGCAGGAGTTTTTGGTTTACCAGTTGTTTCTCTTAGAACTAACTTTTCAATTGGTTTCCTGTAGTCTTTACCGACAATGATTCGGTGGCAGTAAATGGAGGGAATATGAATCTAGAAAGACATGCTCGGTATCAAAAGCATATTTTCTCCTAACAAAATTCAGAAATACAATAATATTAAATAGAATCTTTAAAAACCAATAAACGTTGTACTTCGTTAGGCCGCAACTCTCCAACTTCTACCAATTCTTCCACTTCAACAATGGTAGTCCTAACGGCTTTACACATAGGAACATTAAAGTTCAATGCTGTATTCCTTAACGAAAGTTTCTTAGAACAGTGCTTCTTTAAAACATTATATAATCTATAAATTCCGATATGAATGTGATTAAACCATAACAGGTCTCAACAAGCCTTAATAGCTCAAAAAAAATATCGAGAATAACAGTAAACAAAAGAATTACATAGACTGTTCAAATTCTTTTTTTTTTGACGCTAACAGTAAAGGTGTGGTGAGAGAATACTTTACAAAAAGCAAACTTGAACACAAGGTTCCCAAGTTTATCAGCCTTCCAAGCCTTAATTAAGGCAAAATCACCCACTATTGCTTCCTCTAGTACACAACTGATATTATTGAAAGACCGAATCTAAAAAAATAACACTGCTTAAAACAACACAACTAGAAAGCGATAAGTTTCATAGACCGCGAAACAATGTTTAATATTCCAAGAGATGAACGCGCAAAAAATGAAAAAAAAAATCGTAGAAAAAGAATTACGGGATAAAGTAAAAACTAAGCAATTAACCGTGCCTCTTTTGCAGCACTTGCAACTGCTATTCCACCTTCCTCTGTATATTTGATTGGCAAACCACCCTCCTGAATTAAAGTTCCATATCCTGTCCGGGTAAAAAATGCAGGAATGCCAGCGCCTCCAGCACGTATTCGTTCCACTAAAGTTCCCTAAAAAAGTCACAACAGTAATATATAAATAAATATATATGGGCCATTCCATGCCAAATCGCACACCTTCGTACATCACCCACTCAGATTTTTTTCATTTTTTGCTTATTAGTAGAGTCTGGGCTAGCAGAAAGCCGCAAAGAAAATCCGGAAAAGTGAATTCCCCGCTAAGTTACACCCTCCCCAAAGTTGCAAAATTTGCCAGGTTGCCGCCTAAAATGCCTATCTTTGGAAACTTGTAATTTGGTTCGTTCTTAACGTAACTGAACGCTTTTTGACTCACTTATTTTTCATGACCTGAACTTTCAAAAGAATGTTGAATAATCTAATCCCTTGAAAATACACAAAGATATAATAAAAACAAAATTTCAAAC